GCCATTTGCAATAACAACACTACCATGTCCTCCATTGTTGTGTTGTATATCCTTTCAGGTTGTCTTCTTCTACTATGTTTAATGGTGGCTGGCAAATAGTTTAATGGAGCATAACTGCCACCAACTGGCAAGGCGTGTGGTGTCAATTGTTGGACTCTGGGACCACCCAACTTTACAATGAACCCACCCAATGGAACTGTTACAGAAGTGTAAGGGATAACCACCGGAACTGTGCTGAACAAAGTCCAGCCAAGTTGAACCGTGTGGAAGAGGTGCTAGTGGAAAAGGGCCATAGGAAGCCAGTACCCGGTCCATACAGGGCAGTATTTTGCACTGCTACCACTGACAGTACATAAACAGTCCAAAAAGAATATGTCCATCTAACATATTTTATTAAGCTGTTTAAAAAAAATTATATTCATCAAAGCTTTTGGTACAATCAAAAGACACCATGTAAAGCACAAAACCCAGATAAGAATTCAGTCACTCATTATTCTTCGATAATTCAACAGACTCAAATGAAACCCTGTCGAATCGGTCCGTCAGACAGAAGGACTCAGTTCTTGCTGTGAATGAGCTTCAGCTTGAAACAGCGTGGCAGCAGGAACTCGCTGGCTGGCCCAAAGACACGGATATTTAAAACAACATTAGCAGGATGGTGATATTTCCTCCTCGTCTGCCCCAGAGCTACGGCACACTCCGGCTTGTTTCCTCCCTGTCACATCTCAAAGACAGAGCTTTACTGATGGGGACAGAGTGGGCTTTACTACATCCTGCCAGCGACAGAGGAAGAGGAGATTCCTGTGCACACATACTGTATGTGTATTTAGGTGTTATAGGAGGGGAAAACTGGCATTTGTGTGAGTGTACTGGTGTTGAACATGGCCAGTCATAGCTGACAGCGTCTTTCAAAGGAAGAGGAGGAGGAGAGACGTCTTCGTTCTTTTCTTCTGCTGGGGAAAATGTCAGCATGCATCAGTCTGTTTGCCTGTTGGCACAGGATCCGACTACATACCAGTACACTCACGCCAGGGATGCAAGGAAGCCGCGAAGAAGGGAAGGCGAGAAGTTTCACATTTAAAAAAAAGGATGGAGAGAGAAGAATCGGGGAGGGAGGAGGAGGCCATCTGGTCCTCAGCGTTCATGATCACTCAACCAAATGTAGAAATGAGAGAACCGCCTTAGAGGAGAACTGCAGACAGGAGAAGGTCTCCATCTCTTTCTAAAGGTCTGATGTTGTTTTCTTTTTTTTAAAACAGCTGCTCCCTGTACTAATCCTGAAGGTGCCTCGGGCTACTGATTCAACCTCACAGCCCTCGCTCAGATGTTTTCTGTTTCTTTTTCTTGTCCTGTTTTTTTTTTCTGAACTAAATATCCTTGGCGTCATTTGATTTCCTTTTACAATTCAGACCTTGTGACTGTCATTGCTTTGCTTTTTAGCCTCTTTTCTGCACCTTAAATAACAGATACAGTATATAAAGTAATTGAAAGAAATAACTAAATACCTCAACAGAAGATGGTTTTGGTAAAAATGAATTTTACTGATAAGAAAAGTACTCATGTAAAAGTCACAAAACTGCTCACAATAATCGGGAAAGTAAAAGTACTTTTACACACACAGTAAAGAAATAAAAGTATCATTTTTCATCATCACAGGCGGAAAGCTTGGCCACTTGTTGGAAATAAGTGGCAAAAATAGTCAGAAAATTACAATAAAACTAACGCTCTGTGGTTTATTTATAGCTCCGCTTGGAATCGTATTTTTAATCACTAATGAAAGCTCATGAGCGGAGTAAGAATCAGGAGGTTATTTGAAGGAAGAAGAGGTAAAAAGTTCACTGGAAACATGCAAACACAACAGTAGCAATTATAAGACTTTTTATAACATTTCGGCAAATAAGGGTTTTGGCATTTATTACTGAGAAAAGGGTATGAATAAGTTCAGCTATTGCAATTTTAATGGGGAAAAAACACGAGCAAATACATACTATGAATTCCTCCTACATGTACTTTCATTTCAGAAGCAAACCTTTGGCCAGATTAAAAAAAAATAAGATTTTTCATTTAGTTAGGGTAATAATTTTAGACTTATTTAATATTCCTTCAAAAATCATCAAGCACAGCTCCTAAACTTCAGCTGACTGGAACTTTTACTTGCATTTAGAGTGAATCTGCTGGTGTCCATATACAGTATTTAAAAGCATATATGTATGAGAGCGTTACTGTGTCTGGAGCAGTGACTTGGGTTTATTTCAGGCAACTAAAGACAGTGAAGCAGCCCAATCAGTCTGCAGAACTATAATTATCATGTCAGTGCCTCTCTGCTACCACAGCACTGTGTAGGAGGGACATCACAGCTACAAAGCATCTCAGCCAGAGGGTGCTCGTGCATGTGCACCATGTCAAAACCCGCTACATTTTCAGCACTGGATGTGAAATAACCACTTGGCACTGGCTTCAATTAGATGTAGCTGGGAGCACGTCTGCCTGTTTGCTTGGGAAGTCCAATGATTAGGTGATGCAGCATATGGTTCTCCAGATATGAGGAGACATTTTCCACGCCAGCAGTGCTGATGAAAAACGCCGAGTCTAAATGGAGCTCGAGTTGAAATTGCAATAATTTTTTATCAAGTGACAATTAAGAGCCAAAAACAGATCTATACACTAATTATTCTGCTTTTATTTGACATGTTTCTGTTGAACTAATTATATCTTCTAGAATGTGCTCAGTGAAATTAAAGATTTATGGAAAGACTTGTGAAAACTTTGGAAAGTATCGCTACCACTTGCTTAGTTAGAATAATTTCATCCCAGGTGATCTTACACACTTCTAGCTAATAAACGCTGGAGTACCAGACAGGCTAACGGTGAACGTAGTTCAATATTTAGCCTACTGACACCTACAGCCCAGAAATTAGACTTTTTATCTGATTTGTGATGTAATGTTTTCTCTTTAAGTGAAATCTATTTTTTATTGCTGATTTACGCAGATTTTAGGAGAGCAATCATTAAAAGCTTGCTTTTGGGAAACAAATTAGTGTATTATATGAAATATATAATAATGATAAATAACAATACAATAATAAATACCGTATTTATTTGTATATAATACGATCTCATGTATAATACGAACCGCCCTTTTTTGAGCTTAAAAAGCATTAAAAAAGTTAATATTCAAACTACCTCCAATTTCATACAGACTTCAAGATTTTTCAGCCTTTGTCGTCTTTATACAGTACATATCAGTAAAATGATCATTGGACTGTTCATTTTATTTTAACAATATTGTTGCCCAAATCAAATTCTGGAAATGGTCATTCAACTAGATCTGTTACAAAAGTACAACTGATATTACCAACTTTTAAAAACTGTTACGGCCAGAGGTCTTTCTTCTATGTTTATACTAAAGCATGGAATGACATTCCTCAAAACATAAAGTCCAT